CCCTCCCAGTATCACCACTCACACCACTGGTCCTGAAGGGATCATCTGCCGTGGATTCCCTGCGTTTCCAGTCCAGTTCCTATCTGTACCAGTGTACATCCTCTGGTCTAGCCAGATTTGCAGTGTAGAATTGGGATCATGATAGTGCGGGGGGTGGGGGGATTAGAAGGGATCTGCCAGAGGCTTGATCTGACTAGATAGGCTGAAGATGGATTTTGGACTCCTGTTGTCTACATAATCTCTTACAAACTGGGTGTTCACAATTTAATCTCTGATACTTTTCCCTTCATCAAAATTGGATTTTGCTATTGTCATCTTTGAATCACACCGGCTGGTGTTCTTTGATGTGGATTTAGTTGATGCCTCATTTAGATGGCTGCTTGTTTGAGCACAAGTCTTTAAGACGCTAAACACTGTTTCAATTGGTAGCCAGGCACCATCTGCTTTCTTCACCACACTTTGCTGTAACACCCTTATCTTCAGTGACCATTTCATGAAAGTGAGTATCGAACAAGGCCATGTTAAAAGAACTAACTGTTTCTTGATTCTGAGTCCAGTGGGAGCCCAGAATTCATCTGCTTGAACAAGGGTTATGCACACTCTGGTTTACTTTGGTGATCATATGATGACTAAAACAAGAGCCCACAAGACCAACAACAATAAAAAGGCAAAAACAAACAAAAGGCAGAAAAACGAAAAACCAAAGAAAGAAAAATGAAAAACATTGTCAATCAACCCCTGGGTGTACAAGGTGATTAAATTGATAACACCAATACTTTTTCCAATAGGATATAATTTAAGATACTGTTGATATGAGTTTATGCAAGTATAGTCCAACCTTGAGCTGCAATCCATGAATTGTTGCTTTGTACAGATTGGTTTCTTAGTTGGCTGAGCGCTGTTTACACTGAGTATGGGATTGGTGCTAGGGGAAAATTACCTGTATCAATTCTTGCAAGTGCAGATCCTTGCCTAACAGATTACAACCTGTTATTGTCATTCAAGGGGAACATTGGGGTATATAGTGGTTCTGGGTCTGTTTTCATTGTATATTCTCTAAGCCCAGGGTCCCACCCAAGAGCTAATGGCGGCCATTTCCACAGTCTTGGGGTGGCCACCCTTTACTTCCTCTCCCATCAGAGTATTTCAGTCCTAAGGTACAGGCTGTTTTGAGGTAGAGTTAGGTACGTTCAGTCGGGCTTCTATGTTGAGACCTTCTGGTGTTGCCCTCTGATAATCATATAGCCATTGCTTTTAACATATCCTATCATCCTGATTTTGAATTCCTGCTAATTTTTTACATGTTGTTTTCCCTTTCTTAAATTTTGAGTTCAGCAGTAAATTAAATAAAATGCTTAAGCTTTTATGCAGTGTTTCTCTGCATTTGAAGCAGGTACATAGTGTGTCTTCCACATCAGATAAACCTACCATGCTTATCAGATTTCTGTTTTTCATGAATTTATTTTTCTTTCCTTGAAATCATTTGCTTTGTTCTTAAATTTTTCATTACTGACCTAATAATCATTGCCTCAGGGTTAAGGCAGGTAGATTCTACAACAAAGGAATTTGTAGGAGTGTTCAGTGGGAATTATTTAAATACTCAGCAGGCATCTCAGCCTGAATCCAAAGACTTTTTGATTTGCAAGGGCTAGGCTTGGAGAGGGAAGTTGTTTTGTTTTGATATATAAAATGGTTTGTCTTGAAACTTCAAAGGTAGAACTAGATGATAGATATTATAAAAGATACATGCTGAGTGGGCAGAATACAGAATATTAGACTCTCAAAAGAGACAGAGAAAACAATAGATCATTTTAAAATGAGCAAAAGATCTAAACAGACACCTTGTCTGGAAGATGCACAGATGGCAAATAAGTATATGAAAAGATACTAAACAAACAAACAAAAAAACATTGCCAAAGAGTAAATTCAGACTCCTGCTAACAGAGTACCACATGCAGTTAACTGGAGAAAAGAGCAGCCTAGAAATCTAGAGCTTGGGAATAAGGCTCTTAAAGTACGAAGGCAGTTTATATTCAGGGAGACTAATCATGGTACTTGTGAATATCGAGACCTATAGCGTCTGGGGACTTAAAGGCTTGAAAGTAAACAAGCGGCCATCTAGCCCAGAAACAACAGAGCCCACATGGAAGCAGCACACCAACATGTGTGATCATGAAGGGCCAGGGGGACCAGGCTTCAAACACCAAAGGCCGGGGTGGGTTGGGGGTGGGGAATCATATCATTGTCAATGAGGGTGGCGCCTGATGGGGATCCAATGCCCATCTCTAGACAACTGGACATACCTTGCAGAGGGGTAGTGGGGAGGAGATGAGTCACTTAGGGTTCAGTATAACAATAAAGAAACCCACAACCTTCCTCTAGTTCTTAAACGCTTCCTCCCCCCAACTACCATGACCCCAATTCTGCCTTGCAGACCTGGTTAGACCAGAGGATGCACAGCGGTACAGATGGGAATTGGAAATGCGGGGAATCTAGGACAGATGAACCCCTCAGGACCAGAGGTGACAGTGGCGATACCGGGACGGAAGGGGTGGGTAGAAAGGGTGAATTGATCACAAGGATCTACATATAACCTCCTCTCTGGGGGATGGGCAGCAGAGGGGTGGGTGAAGGGAGACACCAGGCAGTGTAAGATAAGATATAATAATAATTTATAAATTATTAAGGGTTCATGGGGGAGGGGGGAGGGACGGGGAGAGGGGAAAGGGAAATGAGCTGATTCTGGGAACCCAAGAGGAAAGCGAACTTTGAGAATGATGAGGGCAACAAATGTATAGGTGTGCTTTACACAATTGATCTATGTATTGTGATGAATTGTATGAGCCCCAATAAAATGATTTTAAAAATATTTATCAAATTCTTTCCATAAAACTAATCAAGGCTTACTATGTGATTGTTAGGTGCCAGTTGAGTTGATTCTGACTGCTGGCGAGACCATGTGGGTGAGTAGAACTGTTTCCATAGGGTTTTATTCACTGTGATCATTCAATTGAAGATGGGTAGGCCTTCTGTGGTGCCACTAGTCTATGAACTGCCAATCTTTATGTTCCCAGTTGGACCACTCAGGAAGCTACGCACCAATTAAAATGGTTGGAAGGTTGTTGTTGTGTTTTTTTTTACTGTAAAGCAAAGACTGACAATTAAAGTACTGATGAGGGCATGGAGCCACAGGGCCTGCCTCATTGGTAAGAGTGCAAAGTCCTGGTTACTTTAGAAGATGGTTTGGCAGTTTCTTACAAAGCTAAAACATCTTATCAAGCAATGTAGCAATTGTGCTTTTTGGTATTTGCCCAAAAAACTTATAAATAAATTTATTTTTAATTCTATTTTGCCACAAATTTTTTGAAGCCCACATTTATTGTACAGTGATAAAAAAAATAAATGAGCTAAAAAGCCATAACGTATAAAGAAATCAATCTTAAACAGATCTGTAATATGAAAACTAAAATACAACTCATCGTCATCGAGTTGATTCTATTTCATAGTGACTCTATAGGACAGAGGAAAACTGCCCTGTGGGTCTCAAAGACTCTTTGTCATTGTTATGAGGTTCCATCTAGTGGTTAGCAACCCATAGGGACCTATGCACAGCAGAGGAAACACTGCCCACTCCTGCACCATTCTCACATTTGTTCCTATGCTTGAGGCCATTGTTGCAGCCACTGTGTCAATCCATCCCCTTGAGGCCTTCCTCTATTTTGCTGCCCTGATACTTTACCAAGCATGGTGTCCTTCTCCAGGGACTGGCCTCTCCTGACAACACGCCTCAAGTATTTGAGACAAGGTCTCACCATTCTTACTTCTAAGAAGCGTTCTGGTCATACTTCTTCCGAGACAGATTTGTTTGTTCTTTTGGCATTCCATGGTACTTTCAAGATTCTCTTTCACCACCTTTCCTAATTTTAAACCATGAAGTATTCCCTGTTCTGTTTGCACAACTGCTTCCTGATGCATGTGTATGTTTCTGGAATTCCCATTCTTGTCAAGGTTATCCATAGTTTGTTATAATCCACACACTTGAATGCCTTAGCATAGTCAATCAAACACAAGTAAACATCTTTTTGGTAATCTCTGTTGTCAGCCAAGATGCTTCTGACATCAGCAATGAAATCCCTTATTCCCTTATCTCTTCTGAATCCAACCTGAATCTCTGTCCACTGCTCCCAATCAATGTATTCCTACCTTTTTTAGATGATCTTCAGCAAAAGTTTATTTCCGTGTGATAATATTGTTCTATAAGCATTTGGAATGGTCACCTTTCTTTGGAATGGCTACAAATATGTATAATTTCCAATCTGATGGCCATGTAGTTATCTTAAAAAGTTCCTGACATAGACAAGTGAATGCTTCCAGGGCTTCATCAGCTTGTTGAAATATTTCAATTGGTAGTTCATCAATTCCAGGAACCTTGTTTTTGGCTAATGCCTTCAGGGCAGCTTGGACTTCTTCCTTCAGCACCATTCATTCTTTATTATATGTTACCTCTTGAAATGGTGGCATGCCGACTAGTTCTTTTTGGTACAGTGAATATGCACTTTCCATCTTCTTTTGATGCTTCCTGCATCATTCAATATTTTCCCTTTAGAGCCTTTCAATTTTGCAACTCAAGATTTGAATTGTTTCTTGAGTTCTTCAGTTTAAGATATTGTGGTGGAGTGCAGCCCCCTTGATCAAGTCAGGGTGTTATATAATGAAAAGAAAGACTCCTTGGGTCTGTGGCTTGTTTCCTTTTAAGCAGACGCTACAGAAAGGCTTGTTATTTCAGCAGGGTCTGGATCCTGAATCTTGTCTGTTGACCTCCTACCATATTGCCTGCTGATCCCAAAAGCCAACCACAGACTACCAATCTTGTATGCATTTGACTTTGCAGTCACCAGCTTGTGGTCTTCCTGATATGTCTTCCTGATGCTTGGTTCTTTAACCTCTCAGCTATATGAGTCAAGAGAAGCCTCCAGCTGAACATCTGACCCCTGGACTGGACTAACCTGATTCTACAACTGTGTAAGCCCTTTCTTAATAAAAACTTCTTTCTCTATACATACACATATCAGAGACACTGGCTTTATCTCTTTAGAACCCAGTCTTACTCAACATCATACAAGTTACATCATCAGCAGGGGCGGTAAGTGACAGCTAAGGGCAATATGAGTACTCAGAGTCACTTTTGTTACTATCATGATAATTATGAACATTATTCAAATTAATATAGGTTAGACCCTATGGTCAAAGGCCATAGAGATGGTGAGAATGAGACAACATTCCACTTTTTTGTACATGGGTCATAATGAATCAGAGCCTACTTGTTCACTTGCTGGCAACAAACAACAAGAACAATAACAACAATCTGTTTTATTTTGTTCCCATAATAACCTAGAGAGTTTAGCAACTGTGCCAGTTACATAATTGTGGGGGGAGGTCAGATGTGCAGGCATTCCCTCCCCTGAGGGTGATCAGTTGCCAGACTGCACTGTGCCTGCTCCCTGCTGCTGGGGACAATGGACGGGCTCCTGTAGGCGGAGTTTTCACCCTACTGATAATGGTTCCTATGTAGACCCAGAGACCACCCCCTGGACCACCCCTTCTCATTGCTGTGTAACCTATAGTGCAACCCCTCCCTGTGAAGTATGTCTCTACCTGTAATTAGTGGGCTGGCATGCCCCCAAAAGGGATATAGGCGTGGGTCAGCGAGAGAGACTCTCTCCTTGCTGCTCACTCCCTGGTGACTCCCCTCTCTTCTCCCGCTCCTCTCCAGTCCTCTTTTCCTTGTTCCCTTGCCCTCCTTCCCTTCCCCCTCTCTCCACATGGACCACCAAGCTGGGCTGAGGTGAGCAATGCTACCATGTAATGTGTCTGACTGCATTATTGTAATATCTCTCATGCTCTCGATGACTTTAATATAATACTTACATATCTCAACCATACAATTGTGCATTACTGAACCCAGAAATAGTGTTACTGAACCCACAATTAGCGGTGGGGGCTGGCTCCCCAACCCCAGCGCCACTTTTAATTTAATACTACCTGTCAACTTGCAAAGAGGTAGAGTCTAACCTGTCAATCAAGTCACAGCTTGATGACCTCATTTGAAGGTACAAAGGAGATAAATAGCTCGATGGAGGCCAGACACACTCTCTCTCTGCTGATCTACCCGTGAGACATTCCTGTTGACAAGCCACATGAAGCTACACTGATGGAGCCAGAGCCCTGCAATTGGAGGAGCCATGTGGAGACCCATGCCAGTGTTGAGATGCTTCTACCACCACTGGATCCACAAGGCTTTCCACCCACTGACCTGTGATCTTCCTGCATTCAGTGTAATTGTGAGTCTGAAAAGGAATTTAGAAGCTGGTATCGAACATATGGCTAATATCAGACTTAGGGAATTGCTCTGGACTGAGCCGGGATGTTTTCTTAATATGCAATTACTCTTTAAATAAAGCTCTTTCTTATACACTTATGAGTATCTATGAATTTGTTTCTCTAGTGAACCCAGACTGACACAGCAACCTATAAAGGTAGCATTGTTGTTGTTGTTAAGGACCATCAAGTTGGTTCCAACTCCTAGCAACCCTATACACAAAACAATGAAACACTGTTTGGTCCTGCACCATCCTCACAATTGTTGCTGTGCCTGAGCCCATTGTTGCAAAAAATGTGTCAATCTTCTTTTCTGCTGCCTCTCCACTTTACCAAGCATGATGTCCTTCTTCAATTTCTGTTCTCTCCTGACAACATGTCCAAAGCATACAAGATGAAGTCTTGCCATCTGTCCTCTAAGAGCACCCTGGCCACACTTCTTTCAAGAAAGATGGGTTTTTCCTTTGAGCAGTCCATGGTATTTTCTCATTCTTCACCAGTACCACAATTCAAACTTATCAATTCTTCTTTGTCTTCTTTATTCAATGTCGATTTCACATGCATATGAAGCAATAGAAAATGCCAAAGTAACATTCTTGCTTTTCAATACTCTAAGAAGGTCTTTTGTATCAGATTAACCTAACGCAACATGGCATTTGAGCTCTTGACTGCTGCTTCCATGAGCATTGATTGTGGATCCAACAACATCAACTTTGTCTCCATATATTATGATGTTACCTCCATTGGTCCAGTTGTAAGGGTTTTGATCTTCTTTACAATGACTTGTAATCCATATTGAAGACTGCAATCCTTGATATTCATCAGCAAGTGCTTCAAGTCTTCCTCACTAGCAGCGAGCAAGCTTGTGTCATCTCCACATCACAGGTTGTTAATAAGCCTCCCTCCAATCTCGATGCCACACTCTTCTTCACATAGGCCAGCTTCTCTGAAGATTTGCTTGGCATATAGATTGACTAAGTATGGAGAGAGTATTAAACCCTGACACAGATTTTTCCCGATTTTAAGCCAAGGAGTATTCTCTAGTTCTCTTCACACAACTGTCTCTTAATCCATGTAGAAGTTCCAAATAAATACAATGTAGTGTTCTGGAATTCCCATTCTTCTCAAAGTTATCCATGGCTTGTTATGATCCACAGATTCTAATGCCTAGGCATAGTCAATAAAACACAAATAACTGTTTTCTGGTGTTCTCTGCTATCATCCTAGGTCCATGTGACATCAGAAATGATGTCTCTTGTTCCATGTACTGCTGCAACCATTGTTGGATGATCTTCAGCAAAATTTGATTTGCATGTGCTATAAATGAGATTGCTCCACGATTTGAGCAACTTCATTTGGAATGAGTACAGATATGGATCTCTTCCTGTCACTTGGCCAAGTATCTGTCTTCTAAATTTTCTGGCATAGATGAGTAAGTTCTAGTTCTTCATCAATTTATTGAAACATTTCAATTGGTATTACACAATGCCTTTAGTGCAACGTGAAGTTAGTCTTCCAGCACCATTGGTTTCTTGGGGCATCTCCATTTTAAAGAGGAGCACATCATGTACAGAAAGTCACACAACTAGAAGGCAGTAGAGTCAGGTTTTTAGTTTCTCAGTATCCAAGCACAATAGCAGGGAGAAAAGGGGTGAAGAAAAAAATCTTTGAAGGAAATGAAGAACCTCATGGATATTTGACCTTGAAAGTGACTTATTTACCAGAACCAATGCACTGCCATCACGTTGTTTGAAACACCTGGATTTCTTTCATGTACCAGAGTAGAACTATGCTCTATAAGGTTTCCCATGGCAAAATTTGGAAGATTTCTAGGCTACTCTATAAAGGTGCCTCTGAGTGGACGTGAATATCCTACCCTTTCTGTTAGCAGCCAGGTATGTCAACTGGGCCACCCAAGGTGTCCTAACATCCTGAAGTAGGGGAGAAATTACTCAGAAGTGACTGTTACATGGTTGGACTGGCATGATTAATTGTTCCACTTTGGAGAATAAATGATAGCTAATTAGCAAGTATAGTTCAGTTACACAGAAATGAAGATCTTTAAATATTCATCTCCATTGTGATTATGAATTTCAGACTGATATACATGAAAGAAGTCCTTGGTGGACAAATGATTGATAGCTCAATGACGAACAGAAAGTTTGGCGGTTTAAACCCACTCTTATGAAGAGCACCTCAGAATACAGTTGACAATCTGCTTTCAAAATTACAATCTTGAAGACACCGTGGGGCATAGTTTTACTCTGACATACATGGAGTCTCCATGAACCAGCATTAATCCAACTGACAACTAACAACAGCACACATGTAAACCCCTAGAATGCAGTAAGTATTATTTACAATGATTATTATTAATTCTCCTGAATATAAACTATTTTTAAGAGTTTTAATCCCGCATTCTAGTAATTCTTTCTTTCTCTCTTGCCAGCTGCAGTTGTTTAACGGTGCTGTAGTTTTCTGATGCTGATTGCTTGCTTTATCCTGCAAGTCCCGATTCTTCTGCTACCTCTTGACAGCTGTCTGGTTCTCATTCTGACTTGGTTGTTCCAACCCCGGCTGGATTAGTTTCATTGTTCTGAGGCAGGGTGTCAAACTCAATTAAAACGCGGGCCATTTGGTGCAACAGGCAAGTTTCACGCAGGCCACATCACACTTACAAATTGAGTTAAATTTATATGCTGAAGTGAGGATTCAGGAATATGGATAGAATGATTAAAACACTGTATAATTGCCTTTATTTAAACATTTATTTTATTTAATGTATTGATCAAACTAAAATTATTCTTTTTCACCCGAAACTTGCCAGCGCTTTCCTCCTACTAGTTTTCACTCACCTTGTATGTTGTGACCGGAAAATATAACAAAGTAACTAATAGAAAACACCAAATGTTGGGCAGCTGACAAACGTGATGCACAATCATAATGGCTTCCCTCTAAAAATGTGAGCTAGCGCTGCTGCTAGGTGTGATTCGTACAGCACAACCCAGAGTGCTCTTTTTAACCTTTCGCTGCTGGGATCTGTTTCCATGACGAGACACTGAGAGTGGCAGACATATCGCTTCCAGACGTCGCTGGAACTGAGTCAGCGCGTTTATGTGTGTCCACACACAGGCCCCCCAGAAAGGCACTGGGCCACGTGTGTACTTGTCTTCAGTAGTTAAAGGGTTAACGAGGGAATTTGTGTGTACGGTATTGCCTAGATCTCCCCTGAATGCCATTTTCTTCATAACAAATTTTTCTATTTTTATTTTATTTCAGAGCTTCGCGGGCCACAGTTACCTCATGAGCAGCCAGTTTGACACCCCTGTTCTGAGGCATCCCTTTCAATGTAGCCAATGGCTAGTTCCTTTCTGTGCTAACCATTCACGTCAAGCAGAACGTTCCTCTCCCATCTTTTCCTTTCCTGTTCAATTTATTGAATGGTTTTACTCCAATAAATAATATATTTTATTAAGTTACTCTGTTTCATTCCAGTTAATGTTTTATCAGCTAGGGGGAGTAGCCTGAGATAGAGTCTAGTAATAATTCCTTGTGTGATGTATTATAAGTCTGGAATCTGTGGCTCTGGTCCTAGAATGCAGTGCTTTCAGGCTGGGTTGCTAACCACAAGGTCAGCAGTAAAAGATGACCAGCAGTGCGGCCACACTTACAATTTTGGAAACTCAGAGGAACTGTCCTGTAGGGTTGCTATGAATCGGTATTGACTCAATGGCAGGACATTTTTTTTTTAAAGATCATTTTATTGGAGCTCTTACAACTCGTATAACAATCCATACATCAATTTTATCAAGCATACTTGTACATATGTTATCATCATTTTCTAAACATTTACTTTCTATTTGAGCTCTTGATATCAGCTTTTGTAACCCTCCCTCCCCCCTCCTACCCTCATGACCCCTTGATAAATTATAAATTATTATTTTCATATCTTACACCGACCACTGTTTCTTCCCCCCTTTCATATCTTACACCTTCCCCTATAGTTTCTTCCCCCCTTTTCTCCCCAAGTTCCCCCTAGCCTCCTGGTATCGCCACTCCCATTTCTGTTCCTGAGAGGTTTATCTGACCTGGATTCCATGCGTCCTGTGCTCTTATCTGTACCTGTGTACATGCTCCAGCCTAGCCTGCAGAGAAAGGCAGGATTGGGGTCATGATAGTGGGGCTTGAGGAAGCCTCAAGGAACCAGAGGAATATTGCATGTTTCATCGGTGCAGTACTTCACCCTGGTTGATTCATCCCTTCCTTGTGACACTTCTGTGAAGTTTTAGGTCTCTGCTCCAACCCATCTCATTCTCAACAATATGTTTGTTTGTTTGTTTTGGGTCTTCTGATGCCTGTTACCTGATCCCGTCGACACCTCATGATCCATGATCGCACAGGCTGGTGTGCTTCTTCTTTGTGGGCGTGTTACTTCTCTGCTAGATATCACTGGTGTAAGTTCAAGCCTTTAGGATCCCAGATGCTATATCTTTTGATAGCCGGGCACTATTTGCTTTCTTCATGACATTTGCTTATGCACTGCTTTGTCTTCAGCAATTTTGTCTGGAGGGTGAGCATCACAGAATGCCATGATGCTAGAACAAAGTATTATTGTGAGGGAGGGCTTGAGCAGAGGCCCAAACTCTGTCTACTTCCTCAATGTATTGCCATATAGATATATATATATACCCATGACAATACCTCTATTTTGATGAATTAACATATTTACATAAGTGTACACCTATGTTCATACCTCTATCAGAGCTTTGCATCCTAGACCTTTCCTCTGTTTCCTTTTACCTTCCTCCTTTCCTACCATCACACTTGCCCTTCTTCTGCCTCTTTGTAATTCCTCTCAGCTAGATTGCTGTTGCTTCACTGTTTTCTCCATTGGGATCTCCCTGGGATCTCTATATCCTCCTCATTGTTGATTTTAATTCCCTAGTTGTTCCCCTGTCTATGGTGGTGTTTGCTCACTGCTCCCTTCCCTCACTTCCTCCTCCCCATAAGTCCTTCTAGAACCTTTGGTCCTGTTGCTTTCTCCTCTATGCGATCAACTCAACATCAGTGAAGATTTTTTGTGTTTTGTTTTTGATTTTTGGGGGGGTAGTGGTGGTGTTTTCTCTAATGCAGCATTAAAGTTTGGTTAAGTCCTGACCTCAGTACAGGTGTTGACCAAGCCATGGCCTTTTTCCTTTGGAGTATCATTAAGACTATGTTAGTAGAGGATGGGACTTAAGACATCCAACTTTGTTTTCCTTGGGGGTATGGTCAGCTAAAAGACAAATCATACTTCCATCAAACCCATTTCTCCATATATTAGAGCCATCTGGGACACAATGAGACGTCTCAGGACCAAGATCTCTGTCTGAAGTGGAGGGAGCCACCAAGACCAGATGCATCAGTGACTCTGGCACAGTGATTCAAAGGAGCAGCGCCAGTTAATGTCTTGTCTGCTTTTCTCAGGGCATGACATAGAATAAAAATTTAAATACATTATCCTAATAAACACACACATTATAATTCATTTATACATATAATCTATTCATTTATTATCAGATAAAAAACCTTGTTTGTTTTATATAATAGATCATTGGGAGTAGTGGGATGCCTAACAATCTTAACAACCTGCGATATGGATATGACATAAACTTGCTTGCTGAAAGTGAGGAAGACTTGAAGCCCTTGCTGATGAATATTGAGGATTGTAGCCTTCACTGTGGATTACAGTTTAAGGCAAAGAAGACCAAAATCCTTACAACTGGACCAATAGGTAACATCATGATAAATGGAGAAAATATCGAAGCTGTCCAAGAGTTTGTCTTGCTTGGTTTCACAGTCAATGTTCATGGAAGCAGCAGTCAAGAGATCAAAAGACAAGTTGCCTTCGGTAAATAAATCTACACAAGACCTGCTTAGAGAATGAAAAGCAAGGATGTTACTTTGAGGGCTAAGGTATGCCTGACCCAAACCATGATATTTTCCATTGCCTCATAGGCAAGTGAAATCCTGAACCTTGAACAAAGAAGCATCGATACATTTGAACTATGGTGCTGGTGAAGAATAGTGAAATTGTTGTGGACTTCTAAAAGGACAAATCCATCTGTCCTGGAAGAAGTATGGCCAAAGTCCTCCTTAGAGGCAGGATGGACAGAGTTTTCTCTTACATGTTTTGGATATGTTGTCAAGAGAAACCAGTGCCTGGAGAAGGACCAAGAGTCAACATTTTGGTAAAGTAGAGGGGCAGCAAAGAGAGCAAGGCTCTCAGGGAGATGGCGTGGCACAATGGCTGTGACAGTGGACTCAAGCATGGGAACAATTGTCAGGCTGGTGCAGGACCGAGTAGTGTTATGTTCTGTTGTGCATAAAGTCGCTGTAAGTGGGAACTGACTCAATCGCACCTAACAACAACAGCAACAATCCTAGTCATTTGTTTTGTAATGTAATAATACCATCAATGAGTAAACTATTTTTGTAAGATTCATGGCATTAGAGTTTTAAGAAACTGATAATTTGACTCAAATAACAAATGTTTGCTGAATGCTTGTTGTACACAAGCTCTGGAGGAAGACAATTCTAGATTAGACTTCTTGTTAGTTGTGCTACATTAGGTACGTCACTTAGCTTCCCTAAGTCTCTATTTGATGATGAATACATAACAGATATATTATTAAAACCTTGTACCTACATTCATAGGATTGTGGTGCGCATTAGAGATAGAGAATGAAATTTCAATTTCAATTAGACATTGTGCCTAAGAGTGTTTATAGAGTATAAATAAATAACTGGTTCAGTATGGTATGTGGCTGAATAGAAGTATTTAAATGTACTATTGGTAAACAAACAAGAAGAAAATTAGGGAAATTGAGAATGCTCTCGAATTTTGATTTAGGACAACTAGGAAAAGTAGCCTTTCTGAGAACATGGTTAAGATTATTTAGTCAGAGAAATCAAAGGCAAGAGATCTGAGAGTAAGTAAAGGAACAAAATGATAATTTATTAATATTAGCTGACAGCCAAGTTAATATGCATCTACCCATATAATTTCAAGATTCACACTAACTTGGGTGAAGCTAAGTCCATAAGAGGCCCTGGGTGGTGCAAATCATTAAGCAATGGACTACCCATTGAAAGTAGCAGTTACAACTCCTTCAGAGGCCCTTTGGAAGGCAGGCCCAGTGATCTGTTTCTGCAAGCTCGCAGCCTTGAGAACTACATGGAGCAGTTCTGCCTTGTGTACTTGAGGTCCCATGAGCCCGAATGGAATCCCCAGCAGGCAACAAGAAAAAGAAGCCATTAGAATGTTGTAGTATTATAATGCAAAAATTCACATCCACATCCAACGTCATCATCTTATTCATATTTACATTTCTTCATTTTTCTTTCTATTTCCTATTTAAAATGTAAATCTCACTTAAAAGCAAACATAAGACCTTTCCAATAGTGTGAGGTTAGCTATGAAAAAGTCGTGTTAGTCCAGAGACGCTCATACGTGTGTAAGAGAGCGCTCTATATCAAAGAGCAACTGCACTGAGGAAACCTCCCACCCAGTCACCCTCAGACCTCTTGTCTTTCACTTCTCTGACTAAATCATCTTAAACAACATGGTCTCAGAAAGGCTACTTTCCTAGAGTAGGGCCTGGGGCCAGCATCTGACCCCCTCTGACTTCACAAAGAGCAAGAACCTTCAAACGCAACATCAGTGCAAGGCTTCTATCCTCCAATCTTAAAAAGAAACACCCAAACAATTCTGATACCAACCATCCTCTGAAGGCACTTGTGCTCCTGTGCTGGGTGTGATAATGAATTGAAATGGCTCCAAAGAGCTCTCAGTCAATGCTCATTGGGATCGCTAGGTTTTATGTCACCTGGCGTGGGGTGTTGAGGATGGGGGTACAGGATTCTCTCCATATGCTTTGACTTAGTGTGGCCAACTCCACTGTGGGATCTTCTGTGAAGCCGGCAAGCAGTTGTGGGGAGAAAAGAGCTTAATCTGGTCACAGCCTTGCTATGAAAAGGAGGCTTCATTGAGGGTGTAGTCTCTTCTGTGTGCAAATTGATGGGATGTGGAAGCTAGCTCACTTCTACTGCTAGATTTGGATCCTTAATCTGTTTCACTGACCTCCTGCTGATACTAGGAGCCGTCAGTGGACTGACGACCTTGGATTAATTCAGGCATCAACGATTCATATCATTCAGCGTCCACCTCTCTGCTTCACCTTTCTGCTTCCTGTTCCTCAGTGCCTGTAGCTACAGGAGTCAGGAGATGCCATCACCTTACATCTGACCCACAGACTTGCACTGGACTAGGCTTACCCACTTCTACAATGGTGTGTGCCATTTCTTGATATAAATCTCTCTATACCCACACATGCGAGTTTCATTCATTATGCATCTCTAGAGAACCCAGCCTAATACACCCATGATTATGGGATTTATTAGAGAAGTTAATAGGTTACAATTCAAGATCAGAAATTCT